TTTCTTTTCCCTCCACCACCTCTCTTCTCACTTCATACCCCTCCCCACCCCTTTTTGGCTGTAGGCCCTTGCTGCTTTTCCTATCCTTCCCTATGTCTCAAACCTAGTTTATATCATAAATGCTATTAAAGAGTACAGTAGGACACTGAGTAGTAGGTGTTTTCGTTGTCTTTGTCCATTAGACAGCTGCTGTGTAATCCTATCTCATATTCCCATTGCCTTATTTCCACCATTATGGTTAAAGAATTAAACATTCATTTTCATTCTTTTTTTGTGCTTGTTTAAGCTTTATATATTTAATAAACAGTATTCCAAAGGTATAAAATGCCACTGCCCCAAAACATTAATAAATTAAACTTTCTGGTGATGAATATGTGCTAGAATCTGTATAGAATTTCCCGAGTACTCTGTGACTTCCATCCAATATGTTATCATAAAAAAAAAAAAAATTTAAAGTATTCATATACCCCTAAATGAGGAACTGTGTGAGTGATAGTTTATGTAGAATTGCCTCCCAGGGGACATTTGGCAATGTCTGGAGACATTTTTGGTTGTCACAACTGGGGGTGGGGGGTGTTGCTACTGGCATCCAGTGGGTAGAAACCAGAGATGCTGCTAAACATCCTACAGTGCACATGAGAGCCCACCCGACAAAGAATTATCTAGTCCAGAATGTCATTAGAGCTGAGATTGACAAACCCTGAGGTAGAATGATTATTTCATATTTTATAGGCAGCCAGCTCAGCACTTGGTGGCCCCACTCTAACGCATGCTGTGACCAGAGCAACAAAAATGCTTACAGCAACTGCCATGCCGACTGTAGCAACATCAGTTCAGTCTCCATATAGGTGAGTGATTACAGGACTGAAGACAAGTAAGGGCTTCCACAGCCCATAAATACATATATATAAATTTTTTAAAATAATTGTTATCTTTTCTCCTATGGAGATCTCTCAACTGTTGATTTCCTCATTTTATAGCATAGGTTTTGTAAAAAGCCATATCCTAAGAAAATAATATATTCCCCATCATACACCCACAAATCCGTCACTTTTGAAGATGTGTAAATCAACATTAGAACCA